AAAAGCGCAAAAAGCATTTTTTTGTTAGGAAGATGGAAAATTACTGCCTGCCATGCCAGCAAAAGAGCTTACTGGTGCAGATAATCAAAACCAACAAATAACCTAACCAGCTGGACTAGGGCTCAACACTTACTCCCCGAGTCAGGAAAATCTGCCATGGCACCAACTCCAACAGTTAGAAGAGAAAGCTCTTGCCAGAAATGCCATGCTCCCACTGGCAGGATAATCCTTTGCCTTACCCAACTAGGTCAGCGCCACTTCCTTGGCTGTTCACTGTAACTCTGGGACAAAAGGCCAACAACAGTCACAGGCCAAATGTGATTCCTCTCAAAGTACCATTAACCCATGTGTCTACCATGCCATTGATATGGTCATCTTCTGGCCAAATGGGCACAGGCGGGTCCAGATGGCTTTACCACAAGATCCTTACCAAAAGATCCACTTCAAATCATGCAGCCAGGGGCCGGGGATGTTGTCCACTAGCAAAGTTCTTGCCTAAGATGCGTAAGGCCCTGAGTTCTATCATTACCATCTGGGGGTGGGGGGATGAATATAACCACCAAAACAACTGAAAGTCAAAACTGATTAACAGGACAGCAGGACCAGCAATGGGACAGGAAGAGGGAGCCACATTACTGTATGTTTATATCCCTTCATACTGTAGGAAGTCTTCCCTTAACCATGGATATATGTACCTTTATTTTTATCATTGATTTGTATTTTCTTATCAAAGTAATTCACCCAATTTAAGTCAAACAGTATCCAATTCCTCTTAGCAAAGAACAATGCCCATGTTCTACCCCTCACCCATCTCTAGACCTAATCCCCAAGGGTGCATCATCAACTCTTCTGATATTTATCTATATATTATTAAATGACATACTTATATTGCTACTTCTTGACTTTGCAATAACAAAAATTATCTACTGATTTCCTATGCTAAAAAAGGTAACAAGCCAAGTGCAGTGTCACATGCCAACAAACTCAGGAGACTGAGGCAGGAAGATCTCTTTAAGCACAGACGTTCAAGGCCAACCCAAGCAATATAGTAAGATCCTGTTTCAGGAAAAAAGCAGTAACAATTTAGGCCTCTTATACTGTCCACCTTTGTACAATTTATGTTCCCATACAATAATATTTTGGTTAAAACAGTAGTTCATGTATATTAATATTAATGGAAAAATCTGTTCATTACTGTAACAAGTATTACTTTGTTAGTTTTATATACATTATCTTATTATTTCTGGAATTACCTGCTTTTTTTTTTTAGCTGAGTCTCGTGATGCTGCTCAGACTGGCCTCTGACTCCAGGCCTCAAGCAATCCTCTTGCCTCAGCCTCACCAGTACCTACGACTATGGGCATGCATCACTGTACTCAGCAACCTAGTTTTTAAAGTTCATTTTTCTAGGTAACTGATGTTCCCCCTTAAGAATTAAAACAGAATTGCTAAATCCCTTATATATATGTATCAGATAAACTGTAAGTCCCTTTACCCGCCCCACCCCCAATATCCTTTGTGGGTTACATCTGGCCTTTTGGATCTGTGTCTTATGTTCAGCCTTCTCCACGCTCCTTCAGAGTTTCTTGTTTTGTGGATCACAAGTCATCCTATTTCTCAGTTTACTTTTTTAGAGGGTTGAAGTACATTCTCTAAGTAGTATATATGTATCAGATAAACTGTAAGTCCCTTTACCCGCCCCACCCCCAATATCCTTTGTGGGTTACATCTGGCCTTTTGGATCTGTGTCTTATGTTCAGCCTTCTCCACGCTCCTTCAGAGTTTCTTGTTTTGTGGATCACAAGTCATCCTATTTCTCAGTTTACTTTTTTAGAGGGTTGAAGTACATTCTCTAAGTAGCTCTCATAAGAAAGAATATATAAAATACATATTTTGTACCCATTTGTATGCCTAAAAATGCTGTTGTTTTGTGCATATACTCAATAGTTTTGCAGCGTATATAATTCTATTTTTAAATGGATTTTCACTTAGGATTTTTAACAGATCACTTTCTTCAAGATTCTAATATTATAATTAAAAAGCCTTATGTCATTATAATTCCCAACATTT